ATTTGTTGATGTTCCCCTGTTGATTTTAAATGGGCATCTATCACTACTGTGTTTTCCTGCTTAGGAAATTATGTTTGTTGATGTTCCCCTGTTGATTTTAAATGGGAATCTATCACTACTGTGTTTTCCTGCTTAGGAAATTATATTTGTTGATGTTCCCCTGTTGATTTTAAATGGGCATCTATCACTACTGTGTTTTCCTGCTTAGGAAATTATATTTGTTGATGTTCCCCTGTTGATTTTAAATGGGAATCTATCACTACTGTGTTTTCCTGCTTAGGAAATTATATTTGTTGATGTTCCCCTGTTGATTTTAAATGGGAATCTATCACTACTGTGTTTTCCTGCTTAGGAAATTATATTTGTTGATGTTCCCCTGTTGATTTTAAATGGGAATGTATCACTACTGTGTTTTCCTGCTTAGGAAATTATATTTGTTGATGTTCCCCTGTTGATTTTAAATGGGAATCTATCACTACTGTGTTTTCCTGCTTAGGAAATTATATTTGTTGATGTTCCCCTGTTGATTTTAAATGGGAATCTATCACTACTGTGTTTTCCTGCTTAGGAAATTATATTTGTTGATGTTCCCCTGTTGATCTTAAATGGGAATCTATCACTACTGTGTTTTCCTGCTTAGGAAAATATATTTGTTGATGTTCCCCTGTTGATTTTAAAGGGAATCTATCACTCCTGGATGTTTTTCCTGCTTAGGAAAATTCATTTGCTGATGTTCCCCTGTTGATTTTAAAGGGAATCTATCACTCCTGGATGTTTTTTCCTGCTTAGGAACATATATTTGCTGATGTTCCCCTTTTGATTTTAAAGGGAAGCTATCACTCCTGGATGTTTTCCTGCTTAGGAACATATATTTGCTGATGTTCCCCTGTTGATTTTAAAGGGAATCTATCACTCCTGGATGTTTTCCTGCTTAGGACAATATGTTTGCTGCTGTTCCCCTGTTGATTTTAAGGGGAATCTATCACTCCTGGATGTTTTCCTGCTTAGAAACATATTTTTGTTGATGCCCCCCTGTTGATTTTAAAAGGGAATCTATCACTCCTGGATGTTTTTCCTGCTTAGGAAACTATGTTTGTTGATGTTTCCCTGATGATTTTACAGGGAATCTATCACTCCTGGATGCTTTTCCTGCCTAGGAACATACTTTTGTTGATGTTCCCCTGTTGATTTTCAAGGGAATCTATCATTCCTGGATGTTTTCCTGAAAAATGAATATTTTGTTTATGTCCCCCTGTTGATTTACAGGGAATCTATCATTCCTGGATGTTTTCCTGCTTAGGAACATATTTTTGTTTATGTCCCCCTGCTGATTTTACAGGGAATCTAGCACTGCTGCAAATATTGATATATTTTTTGTTCCAGGGACGAAAGCACAAATGGATGGACGAAAACCCCGAAATCCCATTGTAGAGGATTTTTTGGGGGCAACCCATGTTCATGAATAGGAATCCCTTTTGGGGCTTTTTCTGTTAGTTTGTGAGTCATTGGAACCCAGGATGCACAAAGACTCCCATTTTGGACGCGGGTTGTTTGTCACCTTCGGAGGGGAACTGTTGTTTGTTGCATGGTTGGCTTGCTAGGCATGTGCAGACCTTCACCTACCAGGTGTGTGTGTGTGTATGTGTATATGTGTATATGTGTATATGTGTATATGTGTATATGTGTATATGTGTATGTGTGTCTGTGTGTCTGTGTGTCTGTGTGTGTGTGTGCGTTTTATTTTTATTTTTTTTATGGTTTTCATCCGGGGTCGATAGGGCGGGTTGGGGGCCAAGGAATTTCATTCCGCAGTTCTGGCGAGTTCTGAGCTCACCTTGGAGGGGGAGTGAAGCCCCAGTTCCTCTTAAACACTTGCCAATGAAAGCTCCAGACCACAGGTGACACCCCCTGGGTTTGAAATGGCCCCTGTCAGTTAGGCAATTAATATCCGGCCATGAAATATTCCCGGAAAAAGGGTATCATGCCATCCTTGTATTCAGATAGGCCCTGTTTCCCTCGTGAGTGTGGGAGGTTTCTCGAAAGGATATTTTTCCCAGAGGGCTCAAAACCTTTCTTTTCTGTCTCCCTCTCAAAAGGACCTCTTTTTGTTGCAGCGGGCTCAACCCTTCGCTCGATTTTTTTTACCTGGCTCTGTGGCAGCCGTGAGTTTGGGCGGTTCTCAAACAACAGGCGGTTTTCCCCAGAGGGCTCAACCCTTTTCTCTCGAGTTTTTCCCATGGGCACTGTGGCAGGTACATGCAATTCTTCAGCCTCTGTGATGAGGATGGCGATGGGCGGATCAACTTCGAGGACCAGTCGGCGCGTAGTGGGGTTTTGGCGTCCCAGTTGCCCAGTGGCCGAAGGTTTGTTTGGGGGGGGGGGGGGGGAGGGTAGAGGGGGGGCGGGTGTTGTGGGAGATTTGTTCAGGGGAGAGGACTGGGGGGAAATTGTTTAGGGGAGGAGGTGCCAGGAGGAGCGCCCTTCTCAAACAGCAAGACAGGGTGCCACCCTTTTCCTACGCTGGGTTGGGACTGGTCACCAGGTGTGGTATTTTATGTTTGCGCGAAGATAGACGCTCAGGACTTCGAGACATACTGCGCAGTGCATGGTGAAGGGATAGTGCCTCGGCTTACATCTTCGTCTTGTAGCCGAGCCATTGGTCCCATAGGTGTCGTTTTTGGCGGTTTGCTTAAAACAGTAGAGGGCCCTGGTCATCCTGGTGGTTCAATCATCTACTAGCGCCATCTATTTTCCAAAAAGGACACCTACGACTGGCCGCCCTTTGCCCCCTTTTCCTTGAAGGCGTTTCAACGGGCGTTAAGGTTAGCGGCCGGGTTTCGGGCGCATCTTGGCTTCCGGCACAACTTGCGGAATCCGGGATCCGGACCCTTGCGCGAAGCCGCCGAGGTAAATCAAACCCTGAAGATCCTGGAAGTGATGTTCGACGGGGTCATTGAGGCCATGGATTCGGTCAACCAGGCTATGCGCAATGAGCATTGCAAACCGGGGTTGCATTGCTCCGGGGGGCTGCGACCAGTAAACTGATTGTCCACTTGGGTGTGGCTTTGTTGTAAGGTACCCTTTTGTGGGGTTGCTTGACAAAAATGGAAACATGGAACAAGTACAAACGGAAACCACCATCAGGCAACAGACCTCCAAAGTTCCAAACAAAACCACATATGATTATATGTCTTTATGTATATTTTGTTTTTTTTTTGGGGGGGGGGAGTTCCCCTATGTTTGACACCCATCTTGAGGCTTCGAGGGTCAAGAGCCCAAGCAAGCGCAGGGCGCAGCTCCTGCGGTCAACAGTTCCAACGAGACATTGGATGTAAGCTGTGCTGATTTTAGCTGTGCTGATTTTAGCTGTGCTGATTTTAGCTGTGCTGATTTTAGCTGTGCTGATTTTAGCTGTGCTGATCCTTTTGCTGGATCTACGTTTCTGAATATGGTGTGCTGATGTTGTGAATTTTGCACACCCGCTGTAGTGAATCTCCGCCTGTAAGTTTCAGAACTTGTGGTGCTGATGTTGCTCATATGATAAACACGCCCTGTCTGCAAATGGTCTTCCTGTTTGCTTGGTCTCTTTTTTTTTTGTACGGAGGTCTTGGTTTGGACTCAAGTTACAAAGCCATGAACTGGCGGGGGATTGGTTGCTCTTGCTCAAGAGAAGCCAAGTGCCATGTGGCCAGCCCAATGGATCCCAGGCGAGCTGGATCCTATTGGCCATTCTCTTGGCTTTTAGGCTGCTGGAGTAGACTTCGGAGACATTTTTGTTGGCAATTTACCAGTGACGCAAGTTCAAGCACGCTATAAAATGTACAGTCTATAGCTGGGGGCCTAACTCTAATCTTGGCTAGTTTCCTTAGTTAAGCATATGGCTGTGGCAATGGGATCCCATGGCGTAGCTGTACCCATTTTGGTCTATTTTTTACTTGGGTTTGAGTCGGATGTTCACTGGGGGTACGATTTGGATTTTGACCCGTGGCCATATAGGGAAACGGAGTCGCCGGATGGTTTGCTGCCAGTGTTTTGGGGAATCCGCGCTTCTTTCGTCGACGCAGTGACACCATGACAGGAGACAGGCATCATCATCACTGCCACGGATGTCCGCAACACCAAGCCCCACATCGACTGGCAGGTGGGGCGATGGTTCAAGCAGGCATGAAATGCAACACATTGCCTTGACTCAATCTTAGTGCGTTTGATATGAGCAACTGATGGAATTGCTGGTATTTTAATTGTCAGTTTGGGGAAGACATGGGGTTTGACACACCCAATCTGTCGCTGACCCTCAGGTCCCAACCTTTTCCTCATGGGGTTCCCTGATTTCCGGTTTGCGAATTGAGCGCATCATTGAGTGGAAGTGGCATCCTGGTCCAAATACCAATCATGCCTACATGTGGCTAGTGGTCAGCAGTTTGATAGGACGGTGCGCAGGAGCAGTACGGGCTCGCAAGGTTGCATCACACTGCCAAGCGGCAAATGATCTTGGACCGGTTGAGACGTGGGCCAGGGAGCATGCTGCGGTAGTTGATCAGCTTGCTGCCTCGGCCCACCGCCAATGGTCGCACAGGTGAAAACTCAGCTTTGCACCATGAGGAGCTTTGCACCATGAGGAGCTATGCCAAAGAAGTCCAAACAGTGCAACTTTGCATTGGCATCAAAGCCATGCAAACTGTTAAGGAGGCCAAGGCTGGTGGAGACGCCGTGCCGGCTTCTTTGCCGCCTGTTCGAGGGTGCCCGTACAGGGTGCCCGTACAGGGTGCCCGTACAGGGTGATGGTTGTGCCTGCACCAGCAACCTGCCCGTGCTGGGAAGCCAAGCATGGAGTTGAGTTTGTCCGCCATGTGGTAGCTTGGATGGCTCCTACGCAGTCAGAGCGCAGTGATGCTGAGTGCATCAGCTTCACGCGGCTGCTTTTGGATTTCCAAATGGCCAGCCGGCCTGGTCCACTTTATAATCCAATGGAGTGGAGGTGGGTGGACTGCATGAAAGCGAAGTCCATTGTCAGAGCATGTCAGAGCAAACTCTGGGGATCGCACGAGATGTTTTTTCGCGTTGCAATCCTTGCGGTTCTCAAGGAGCTTGCCCTCAATATCGCCACGAGCTCGGACATCGGTGCGCCCTTGCCCAGCCCCTTGGGCCACTTTGCCACGCTTGGCGTGGAGGTGGAAGCGGAGCGGCGGGAGGTTGTGGAGAGTTGGCTTGGCCAGCACTTGCCCGGGGCGAATACACACTGCGCGATGTGCCGGTTGCCCGTGGGCCTTTTTAGAGGTCAGGCGGGTTGGCATTGGCCTTTTTTCGTGAAGTTGGTCGACCTGGTCACTCGTGGCGTTCTGCTTGCGGACAAGACCAACGGGCTCCAGCCGGCACGAAAGGAACCCATTTGTTGGAACTTAGAACCCATTCAGGTCAGCCAGCGGTGTTGCAAGTATCTTGTGTCGAGGTACATGAAAGTAAAGGACCAAGAGCTCATGTTCTTTGTCCAGCTGGCAATGGAGTTCGGATTAAGCGTTTAGCGGAAAACATGTGTTGATCTGAGCCCTAGCCAGTTGTTTGGCGCAAAACAGTCGGTCATGGAGTTCAGAATAAATGTTTAGCACATAACGCTCGTTGATCTGACCATGTAGAGAAATTCCCTTGCCCCAGGCGCCTCTTTTTGCTTGGTTTTGTGGTTTTTGGTAGTTTTGGCTGCTATTGGGTCAGGTCGTTTGAGCAGAGTGCTGCAAATTCTCGCTGCTATTGGCTTAGGTGCACTCTGCTTCACCTGGGCGAGAGCATGTCTTGTTTTCTCACTAACTATTTGCGCAGAGGGCGATGCCCACCAAGTCTGTTTCGACAAGCCAAAAACAAGTTGATCATTTCAGTCGCCTGTTTATACTCGAGTGGATCATGTTCAGATCTCCATACTTTGTTTCCAAGAGGACCTAACAACATCAGGACCACCGGATGAGCATGGGCTCTTTCTTCTGCTGCAGCAGCTCATCCCCGGCCGGAGCCCCGCCGAGCACATGTTGCTAGCAGCGCCTCCTAACAACTCCTCTCAGGAAAGCGCTTGGGGCCTTGGGGTTTTGGAGATGGTTGTGACTAGTCGGGTTTTGTGGGTGCTAGGGGTCCCAGTGCCCAAGAACGGGGACTTCGGAGCACATCGTGGCGAGCTCACCGATTGGGGTAAAACGAGCTTGAGACGAAGGTCCCTGACTGGGAGTGCAGATTTCCAGCTTGTGAATTGGGTGTGTCTTAAATAGGGGACCCCAACAAATGGAGGTTTCCCTGGCTGTTCTTCAACATGAGCTCAGAAAGGGTACAGTACTCTCACCTTACATAAATTTGGCCAGATTGATTTGAACAAAGAAGCAGAGTGGCGCTCAGGCAGGTTTTGTGAGCCGGGAGCGGATGATCTACCAGGAACATGCCCCCCCCCGCCTCCCCGGTGCCTCTTCAAATCAGGTCCCGTCAAAATGTCCTATGGCTTGGCCATTTGGGAGGCCCAAAAACGGCCATCAAGGAACTCCAACTTCCCCGCGCACCAATTTTCCCATGTCCTCTCGGGAGAAGCTCCGACCGCTCAAACACCCATGAAAGAGCGCATCGAAGCTCAGGAACTCTCAGCGAACTTCCCAGACCTCCAGAGCTGCCTTGTTTTTGTTCGGCTTGACTTTTTGGATGTACCGCGCAAACAAGACTATGGGTGTGGGCTACCATTGAATGGGATACATACCACTTGGGCTTGTCTTCACTTGCCCCCCCCCCCGGACCCAAAACAAAAACATAAACTGATGGGGGTCCTTACGGTTTCCCTGCAGACCGAACCCTTGAAAGCCGAGCCCCCTTTTTTTGTCCCACGGCCGTCTGCCGAAATCGATGTGGACCCAGGTGTTCACGACGCCGCCGGTCGCGTGAGGCGGCCAGGTGCGAACGTTTCTCTGGGTCACACCTCTTGTCTCAAACTGGCAAACCTCACCCAAGGAAACTTAACTGATCCAACTGATGAAAGTTGAGTCATCATAAGGGGAATATATCTGTGTGAATTCATGAACATGCTGATGTGCAGTTGGACTGGCCAAGTTCCCATCGTTTTGCTGTAGCTGGGCGCGAATTGGTTTACTGTTTGGGAACTGGCTCTGTCTTTCTGTTCCAGGTACCCCCATCTTTCTGCGGCTTGAACAGGACACTAACGGGACAACCGCCCTTTTTGGGCGGCTTTGACGGGGAAACCATCGGGCAATCGGGCAAGCCGCAATAGGTTGGGGTCCGAGTCCTAAAACAAAACACACCCAACCTGCGAAAAGTCTTCGTGAAGTCCTTGGGAGGAAAGGAATCCAGAGGGTCCCTTTCCCTTGTTCTGGGCCTGGATTGGTGGAAATTGCCAAGGAGATGCTGTATAGACTTCCTTGATTTACTTGGCATCCCATCCCTGAACCCCCCCACTTTTCAGATAGATTAAAGGGAATGGAGAGATAGCATATGATCATGATGTATGTCTTATTGATATGCTATCTCTGTATCAACTCGTTTCATCCGCTATTTGCATAGTGGATGAGGAGATGGTGATGCCCTTGTGTGCTCGACCGAGAGGGAAACCATCTCTTTCTTCGTCCTATGCTTCTCCCACAGAGTCACACCGCCTGACGTTAAATCTCCAGAGTCTTGCGGCTCCATCATTTGTCTCTAGATTTTTTTTTGAGTGTATTTGAATTGGTTGCCCTTATCAGTGGAATAGTGTGACGCCCGCTGCTATCCCATTGGCACAACATATGCAGCCATGCCAACGCATACCTGCACGGATGCTGGTACCAAGCCATGTCAAGTTTGCTGGCAAAAGTTGCACCACAATGCTCACGCGATGATGGTTGAAATGCAGGAAGTAGACCCTTTTTGACATGAGGTAATATGTGTTTAAGCCCAAGCCCGAAGACACTTGTCCTACTGCGTTCAGATGGTAGGATTCGGGCGTGTTCCTCGTATTGTTCAGCTTCTTGAAATGTGTGCCAGTACCTAGAAGTTGTGCCAGCTCCTGCAATAGTTCCTCTGACGAGTTTCAAACGAAGCTCGCCCTTGACAATTCGGCCCTGGAGAGGGAGAGGCGCGATGAGAACGCTGAAAAGAAGTGATTGCGGAGGATCGGGATTCCAACAAAAACAGCTAGACAGTAGGGCTCATACTAAACTTGGGTTTCAAAATACCCTATACAACCCCATTGTAATGGTTTTAGCCCTTACTTGCATTGCTCGTCCCTCTGGAATAGGTGCGATTTTGGCTGCTTCCCCTGTACCTCCCCAACGGCGCTTGGACGATGCGGCGCTGACCTTAAGGGATCTTTTGTTTTGTTCGTTTTGGGAGGTTTAGGGTGGTTGCTTGCCTGGTTGGCTGTTTGGCCTGGCTTGCTGACTTTAGGGCGGGTTCCGTGTGGGTTTGGGAAAACTGGGCTCACCTCCGAAGCACCGAGCTGCCGGGCCACTGGGCTGGAGGCTGAGCTTCTGAAGGGCGTGGATTCTACAGGTCCAAGAGGTAAAAAGGCTCTGAACCGAAAGTCACACACTCTTTGGTAGGAAGGACCTCTGAATCTTTGGGATTGCCACACCAAAAACATGTTCAGCGCACTGCTTCATGGTGTGCCATTGCGGTCAGGACCTGTGTTTCGATAGAACCGCTCGGTCATTGCAGGCAAAACAATGAAAGCAAAGTCCCAGCCAGGGATGTTTTGTTGAGCTCGCTTCCTAAAGCCCCATGAAGGTTTCCGACTCGGGATCTCCTTGCTTGTTTGAAGGTTCACGACTTGGGGATGCCTTGTTTGTGTATGGGTCATTTTGGTTCACCACCAGGGGATCGCAGGTTTTGGTCCATGTTTCCACTTACCAGGGTTCCATTTGAGGTACCTATTTTTGACCCACAGCCATTTCTGGCTGGCCGTTGTCCTCATTTGCAGTTTACGAAGCTCACCGCTCCCTCCCTGGCTCGCGCGGCCCCACAAAAGTCCGCGGTGTTTTTTCGGCTTTCCAGCCCCGTCCTTCGCACCCCCCGGACGGCGAGGCCTGGGCTGATTGATATGAGAGGCAAGCACCATATCTTTGCATTTTGCTTGGATGTTAGGACTTTAACTTTTTGCCAACTAATGGGTTTTCCACTAAACCCACAAAAAGCTAAACTTTTTGCAGGGGGGTCAACAGCAACCAAAATATGGCTGTGGCTTAAAACATGGAATACCCAACAAATGGCACCTTGGTAAATGGAAGCCATTGAAACGGATTGCCTGAAATGTTAATAAGTTAAGGTCATAAACATGTGTGGGGCAAACCTTAACTTGGTAGAAACGACCCAAACCCCGCGGTTTGCCCTTGCTCTTCAATTTCGAGCCGCACTCATATCTGCCCGTTTCATGGCGAGCTCATTTGGGGGTAGAACGAGCTCGCCGTTCAGCATGACGAAGGTCTCTTCTTTTGGATCCCTGATTTTCGGCATTGAAATGATGGTGACCTTTCATACAGTTTTAGTTATTGTTATATTTACATTCTCTCCAACCAAATGGGTTGTAAGTAGGCTACAGCTCATAGCCCCCTGCTAATGGTTTTGGTCCCAGCACACAGCCGCAGCTTGCACCCAAACTGGGCAGATGAAAGCGCGACCTCCGCCTGCGAAGAGTTGCAACCGGCTTCACCCAGAAGTGTTGTTGACTTCTGCATGATGTTGTCGTTGGGAAACTTTTTCCATGCTTGCTGTTGGTGGTTTAGCGGTGGAAATCCAACCGCTGAACTGCTGAGATCATGTTGCTTGCTCCCCCAAACGTCAAGTCTTTGGCGAACTTAGATCAAAGGCCCCGAGGCCCCGAGGCTTGATTCACGTCCATGCGCTGAAATGGATATTTTCTCCTTTTTCTCCTGTTGGTCTGAAAAGAAATCGATTTCACTGGACATATTATTTGTTTTTCCTGGGGACTTGAGCAAATTGAGGTTCACCTCTTGTGTTCGTGTTCTTTTGAACGCTGAGCTCTAAAGGGGCATGTGCAGTCAGCTGGGAGGGTCATTGGTTGGCAATCTGTCTCCTTGTGGTGGGTTCCCCACAAAACATAGGCAAGCCCTCAAAAACAAATGGGGTCCCTTTTGCCACCCACTGTGGATGGACGAGATCCATTTCGCACCACCTAAGAAACCCTGGAATGATGACTCCCCTGTAAACATTTCCAAAAGCAATGGTTTCAACCGGGTTTCAAAGTGGTGCGAAGGGATTTCGTCCATCCACCGTATGCCCCCCTCCAAAACGCAGGGTTCTCTTCGTCTACCTGTCGGTCTCGCCAGGGCATCCATCACCATGCAGCTTCGGAGCTTGGCGTTGCTGGCACCAGCCTCGGCTTGCGCGTTCGCCACTTGCGTTTTGCAAGCACAGCCCCTACACGGGTTGAAAACAGGTGGATTCCCCTGAAGACCACGAGCCAAGGTTCAAACCTACCTGGGGCCAGTTACCTCATCACGTGTAATTGCTTTGCTCATAACACAGCCCAACTTCTTGTGGATTCCGGGATGTTTTGTGCTGTAATAAAGCAGTTGTAGCACAGGATTTAGGATGGGTATCGTATGTTATGGATTGAACCAACAGATCAGGGTATGGGTCCAAATTCAAACACCAGGAGACCGCAGGTTTTAGTCCCTGTTTCCATTTACCAAGGTTTCTTTTTTGGGCGATACCCATATTAATATGTGCGTAGTGCTATGTGTAGCTTCGGCTAGATGCATGCATCCCCCACTCTTTGGGTGACCATCGCTCACCACTCACCGCCCCCAAGCACACCTTTTTGGGAAAGTCTTTGGGGATTTGGGGGGCGGGGCCCAAATATTGCAAGAAAATTGAACATACTCGTCCACAAAACCATGGGAAAGCACTGTAAATTAGAGGGTTTTCCGATTCCCTTATTGCAATATTTTGGGCGTCCTCCGAAGGAGCATTTATGATTGTCGCCCGTCTTGAAAATGGCAGTGAAAAGCTCGCTTGAAGTTCTACTGACAGTTCGCCTGGAATTAGCACCAATTAGTGGTGCCGGTACCTCGAAGCAGGAACGCAACATGGGATGTTTCAAAGCAATCTTGGGCAATTCTACAGGGCTCCTTAAAGGATGCATTTTGCCCATTTGAAACAGGTTTCTTCCACAAACATAAAAAGAAACCACCATTTTCAAGGCAATGTTCAGATGTATAATGTAAGGATCCCTGTTCTAGTGCCGCTTAATGTAGCGGGACTGTGATCATGGCAGGACTTGTGGGCAGAGTCCCACCTGACCAATCCGGAAAAAGAAAGCCTCTGGCTGAGCTGAGGGGTCTATGGTTAGCTCATTTGCCAGCTCTCTTTGACAGCGGAAAGAACCTCGTGGTGCGCTTGTTTCTTTCTTCCAGGAAGGAAACTTTTGACCTCAGCGGAAAAAGCTCGTGGTGCGCTGTAATTACCCGAAAAGAGTTACCATAAAGCTCGTGGTGCTCGTGGTGCTCGCGGTTTTCTCCCAGACCTTCCAGGCGATTGACTCGGATCGATCCGGAGCCGCAAGGCCCTGCTCTGCGTGGGCAAGGGTCCGGCGCCCCAGCGCGTCGGAGTTTTTTGTTTTTTGCTTTCCGGGCCAGACGGCCACAGAGGGTGTGGTGTTTTCGTGGCGGTTCCCGGGCGTCCGGTTGCTTAGGTCGTTGGGTGTTTAGATCGTTTTGGTTGGTGTCATGGTCGGGTTTCTATGAACCACCCGCGAAAGTTGACCTGTTAGCAGGGAATCTGAGCACAAGAAGGTGCGTTGCTTGAGGATCCAACAGCAAAACCAAAGGAATCCAACAGGCACACCGCCGTTCCTTGGTCCAAATCCCTATTTGGGAGGAAAAAAGGTAGGTACCCCTCCAGAGCCTTGCCATGAAGGGAGGCCCTGCCCATGTCTTTGAGGGAAAGAACATAGGTGCCTGAAATGAGCCTGACTCTGCGACTTTTCGTTGTTTTGGGAACTACCCACATTTGACACGCATCTGCCTATGTTATAGTGAGCAAAAACCGAGCCGGGGTATAACGGGCGAAAGCTATGAGAAAGGTGCTTTACGCGGGCATTTTTTAATGCAGCTTTTGGGGTTCTAGTTCAATTTGCAGATACATGTCCAAGTAATATTGTCAGTTGCTCTTATGTAGATGTCAATGTGCTTGGCAAACACAGTCTGTGAATGTCAACTTCAGATTCCAGATTAGTCAGAGGATGTGACACTGGCAAAAGAGCAGATATTATATAAATATGTTACTTGACGGTGGGTGCCTTCAAGAGGAATTTGATCTTTCAGCTACCCTCCCACAGGTTCTATGTTAGTGGGAGGGCAGTATCTTTGTAGAGAAGGTGCGAGTCAACGCATGGTGCAACCTCATGGCTCCGCCGCTTTGCCGCTTTTGGCTCTTTCGGCGGTTTCCAGCGGACGGCGAACTTCGCCCATTTGGCCCGGGCCGTTGGTTGAACCTGCCTTGCGGTTTGACGATTTGCGGCGCGGTCCGCAGAGGAGAAGGCCTGTGGCGGTGAGTCGGCGGCGGACTGCAGGTCATGGCAGGTCCGATGCAAATCCCAGTTGCCCAGTGGTGCCCTCTTTGCCTTTTTGTTGGGAAGAGTGTCCCTTTAAAGTCAACCAACCAAAAAAGGGTGCCCGATTTGTTTCCAACTTTGCCACATGGAGCTTGCTTTTTGGTTTCCCATGTGTTCGGCGGAACTTCACGTTCAGATACTCGGTTTAAGGGGGTTCAAAAGCTAAATTGTTTTTAATATATGTCCAATGGTTTCTACAGACATTGGTCTTTTTAGATGAGCGAAAGGCGTGTCCGTTTCAGGGGTCCTTGGAGCCAAACGCGTTGCGTCGTTCAGGCCCTCATGCTGCCAGCTTTGCCATCGGTGTCCTGGAAGATCCTGGGATTGATCCTCGCGACCTGGCTTCGATCGGAGATCGACTGGGGGCTGTTTTGAGGCACGCGCTGTTGCCAAGTTTCATGGCTCCCGTGACCACCCCTTTTAAGAGACATAGAACGACGGGTGTCTAAATGAAGCTTGGGCAAATCACAACTGGGGATCTTTGACCCTTGAGAGACGTCAATGGCCATTGGACCCCGGACGTGGGCCGGACTCATGTGAGCCACAATCAACACCCGGGTAGATGAAGGTTAGTAAGGGACAATCCCCTTGCCATAAATTGCTGCGGATATCCGCCTTCTCAATTCTTGAGGCATGGTTCTGGGTCGACCATGTTAGTACCGGGTTTTGATTATGACTCAAGTGCAGACCAAGCCGAAGACCGAAGGTGAATTGGAATAAACCTGGGGATTCCCCAAAGGAAACCACCAGTTGGATGGTTTATACGGGCGGGACTCATGTAAGACATTTCTGCAACATCGCAAAGGGCGTTTAAATTCAGGTGGGCGCCGTGCTCTCTGCGGTGCTCCGGGTGGTCTTGGCGCGGCCCCGACGGGGCAGCATCCTTTGGGCGCCGCGGGCGGCAAAAAGAAATGTGGCCGACGTCTGGAGGGAAGATGAAGGAACCACAAGAATGAGCGTGTCCGTTTTTTGGGGGAGCCTCGAAATGGGGTGGTTTCTTGGTGGAATTTCTCTATAAAACCGCCATTTCTGGGGCTCCCCCCCGAAAAAAGACAAGCCCGCCTGGCGTTTTTTCACGATCTCCGCAAGCTTTGGGATTGGGCCGATCAAGTAAGACCCGGGCCTATTGACTCGGACCCGGTAAGTTTCTTCGAGCCCTTCCTGTTTTGCTTGAGCCCGTAGACATCCGTGAGAATTTGTTGGTTTTAAGCAGTTGCCAGTGGTGCCAGCCGAGGAAATCCACCTTTAAGCCATGTGAGCTAGTCCTTGGGACAGAATCTCACTTTGGTATCGCAGAAGGGACGATTTCTCACGATCATGAACTAGGTGTCCTTGGGTTTCTCTTGTTGGCAAATCCAAAGATTGAGTGTGTGACTTTCGAGCAAGTGGACAGGCTGTGTTCATTCAAGCTTTTGGGCAAAATGATGGCATTCGCAGCCCGCTCTTCCCGAGTTGCCCAACAAAGCATGTCATGACTGCTGGCCCAGCATCTGAGGGGTTCCAGGTATGGCCATATGTCCCACACAAAGTATCCCCATTTAGAAAACTTGGCGATGCGTCTTGACGGGATCTCTCACTGTCAACTTTTGCAGGTCAGATGTTTTTTTCTACCAGTCAACCAACATGTAAGTGTTTTTTGCATTGGGAGCATGGCCACACACCTTCGTGAAGCCTTAGCTTGTCAAGTGACTCAGTGGCTATGAATTTCTTCAGGGAAGACCAGTGGTTGGTGGACATGAGACAGTGGCTATGAATTTCTTCAGGGAACACCAGTGGTTGGTTGAGATGCAAACCTAAATGATGTCCTTTTCTCAAATTGTCACGCCCAAGTCGGATGGGTTCCAGAACAGCTCTCGACACCCAAGTCGGATGGGTTCCAAAACAGCTCTCGGGTCTCTCGGCCGCACCCGGCCGAGGTGGGTGCTGTCCTCTCGGTTTGTGCCACCTGCCCGGCCTTTGTGGGATCTCCGCAGAGTTTGAGCCTCCAAGCAGCCGAGGCGGGGCTTTCCTACTGGCTGATTTGCCTTTTCCATTCTTTTCAACCATGGTTCTTTTCAATATCCAGCCGTTTTCAACTTGGATTTCCGGAGGTTTTCTGGAAAGGATCCCTGGAAAGAATGGAAATGAAAGGTACCCTTAGAGCTTTGAAGAAACTTTTGCAGCTTGCGACCTTGCAACAGCTGCAACTTGCCTAGTTGCCGTTTTCTCACCCCTTTTTTGGTTGGGAGGGTTCCCCTACTAAAATAGACTACCGAAAAAAGGGTACCCTGATTCTATCCTCTCTACTGGAGGACCCAGTTGCAGCCCTTGTGGCGTGCGGGTATCAGTCCGGAAAGTTGCGGTTGAGAACCACCTCCAACTACACAACTGGAGCAAGTTGCGGTAAATGTACCAAGTCGGTTTGAACCAATACATGCAAGTGACTGGCAAGCCGGAAACTGGGACCCTGAAAGGAGAGCGAGCTTGGGGAAACGGGTTTGTGTTCTCGGTTTTGTATCGCACTTTGCTGAGTGTTGAGCTTGGGTGTGGCTCACTTGCGATTTTTTTAGGGCATCCGCCGTCAAGGCACTGGTGAGGTTGCCCAATTACTTGAAGTTGCCCAAGTACTGGTCACCCCTCTCAAGGGGATTTCTGACAAACTGACAAGGTTTGGCAGGGATGGTCACCTTTTCAGGCGACAAGCTGACAAACTGATCGAGCCAATCATGGCCCACGGACTCCATGGCGCATGATGGCCATGGCTCAATGGTCGAGTTTTTTCAACTGGGGTTGGAAATTAGGAACCCCTTTCCTGTCCAACAGTTTGCGACAGGGTTTTGTGTGTTTCAATGGCATATTTCTTCACCCCTTCCATGTTTTTTCCCCGCTGTTGAAGGAAATGAAAAAAACAAACACTACTGGACATGTTTTTGATTTTCCAGGCGGAACAAAAATACAGCGGATGTGTCAGCCAGTCAGAGGCCCGCGCTTCTCAGCAACGTTGGGCGGACTTCTCCGACCAATTCAAGACGGCCAGCGTCGCGGGCGCGGCTTCTCGCGCGGTAAGGGCGCGGGGCGCGGGCGCGGGGCGCGGGCGCGGGGCGCGGGCGAAGCCGGGGCGCGGTGCTCGGGATGTTTCGGGATGTTTCGCAGTTTTGTGGTTTTTGTTGTTGTTGAGCGAAATGTAGTGTCCAGGTCTGTTCTGAGGATGGTTTGGGGTGGGTTTGGATTTGAGGTTTAGGGTTTGTTTGGAGTGGTTCAAAGCGAAATGAGAACTACATGGTGATTCCTAAACAGTAGGTAGGTGATGTGGGTGTTTCTCCAGATTGGGACGGCTGGATGGGGCCGGCTTTGTGTACCTCTAGACACCAAAGAAAGGGAGCCTCATTTCAAGTATCAGTCCGTGGGAGAGTATACAGATACCAGGTGGCATGTTTTTTCGTCAAATGTGCGACGCTTTGATAGATGCAAGATGTTGTTTGTTGTGAGCTTGGCAGATTGCGCCTAACGGGATCCAACGATTTTAAGTCTCGCGTCGCGTTAGGTTGCAACGGAGGCTACGGCTACGGCTTTGACGTTTTGCCCCATGTTGCGTCAACATAGGACCCAAGACGCCACTAGTTTCTTTTAGGCCAACTCCCGGAGCAACTGACCAAATTCTTTGTCTTTTTCCCCCTTGTCAGTTTGGAGAGGACATGCGGTTGGGGGGGGCACTCATTTTTAGGACACGGGGGTTCATTCAGGCCAAAGACTGTTTTATCAAAGCCGGCCAGCCCCCATGGCCACTTCAGCAAGAATACTCTCCAGAGCGGCCAAGCTTGGCAACCCAACCATTTTATTAAAGCCAATGCCCGGGGTTGGGGGAGGGGGCACTCATTTTTTTCCACAACCGCGTCCTTTGGGGACAGCGGGCCATTTGATTCGTGTCCGCGTGAACCCGAGGCTACCTTCCTGATGCACTGCGGGATGCAGGGCGTGAGTGCGGATCCCGCGACCGTGGAAAATGCGCAGCCGGAGCTGCAGATGGTGGTTTTTGGTGGCTGGGTTTGGCTGGGTTTAATTGGGTTTGCTTGGGTTTGGTTGGGTTTGGTTGGGTTTGATTGGGTTTGGTTGGGTTTGGTTGGGTTTGGTTGGGTTTGGTTGGGTTTGATTGGGTTTGGTTGGGTTTGGTTGGGTTTGGTTGGGCTTGGTTGGGTTTGGTTGGGTTTGGTTGGGTTTGGTTGGGTTTGGTTGGGTTTGGTTGGGTTTGGTTGAGTTTGATTGGGTTTGTTTGGGTTTTGTTGGGTTTGGTTGGTTAGTTGGATGGTCAGGTGGGTGGGTTTGGTTGGTTGTTTGGGTTTGGTTGATTGGTTGGTTGGATGGTCAGGTGGGTGGGTTTGGTTGGTTGGCTGGGTTTGTTTGGTTGGTTGGTTGGTTGGTTGGTTGGTTGGTTGGTTGGTTCGTTGGTTCGTTGGTTCGTTGGTTCGTTGGTTCGTTGGTTCGTTGGTTCGTTGGTTTGTTGGTTGGATGATTTGTTGTTGGTTGGTTGATTTGATTTGATTTGATTTGTGTTATTGGTTGTTTGGTTGATTTGTTGATTGGTTGGTTGGTTGCATGATTGATTCGGTGGTTGATTGATGGGACAGGGTCAGTGGAGCCTCCAAAAGGCGACGCAAGCCAGCACCCGAGTCCCAACTGCTGCTGGTTAGTGTACTTGGGACTTTGGACGTGAGAAGAGAGCAGACTAGTTGGGGTCCGCTGATCGGATCTTTGGAGCCACTCCTGAGATGGTCTTACCGCATCGTTCATCCCCGAAAAAAGAAGAAACAACGCCAAAGTGGGAGGAATTGGAGTCTTGAGGGCTTTTTCCATGTCAAAGACCGTGAACCAAGGGTTCATGTACCCCGACACCAAGGGAATTTGGGTAGTGAAGTATGAACTCAGAGGGCTCTTGGCCGGTGTTTTCCCAAACACTCCATGGCATAGCACGCAAACTATCCAAATGGAGTGTTATTGGTATATCTTGCCTGTTTGGGGATACCGATTCAGAGGTGTCTTGTTTTGGGGCCCCCTCCCCCTAAAAGAACACGTGGCCCGTGGCTGTCCTTTTGTTTTATTTTCAAGCACAAAACACGAGGTACCCTGAAGCCAAGACACACCTATCTATGGCATTGGTTTTGTTTGTGTGTGAGACTTTCGAGGTATCCCGCGCATTACACGACCGCTCCAGTGGAGCGCGTCACCCACTTCGAGCGGGCCCCACTGTCATATGAAGGCGTCCAGCAACGTCTTCCCATGGAGGACTGCTGAAAACCTACCCAGCAGGATGTCTACCCTACCCATATGGAATCCACTGGAATCCTCACCAGATCGGTTTTTTGACCGCGCATGGGATTTACTTGGACGGTTGGGGGAAATGTTTCAGGACGCCCGCGGGCGTCTCCAATTTCCCCTTGGCCTTCAAAAGTGGCAGGTTTAGTGGACCCCACCATGAAACTGCATTGCAACAGCGGAGGCACTGGGTCCCCAGTTTCAGGAGGAGCCACTAGGTCCCCCAGGATCGTGCCCTTCTCTCCCCGTTTTTGGGGGAGGGTTCCCCTGCGAAAATAGACTACAGAGATGTACCCTTATTCCAACCTCTCTACTGGAGGACCTAGGCCATGTTTGTGGAAAAAAACATGGGGGACGCCCACTGTCTGTTTCTATGAGTGGTCAAGGGGCTTCATGGAGGCAGTTGGAAGGTTTCTGGGGGTTGGCGGCCACTTTGTTTTCTGTGATGCCAAGGGCATGCCCTTTTTTAAGCGATATTGTAGCATGGGAATTAATTTACCACATTGGTAGAAGTACCACATCCATGTAACACCAAGAGTTAAATACATATGTTGGGTCCCAGCATGAGCAGCCACGAGGAGTTTGACGCGCGCCACATGGGCCAATTTCAATACGCACGCCCAGACCTTCCACACGATGCTGTCCAGGCTGGAAGACAGCTTCGCAATGGGAATGAACAGGTGGCATTTTGTCGGCGTTTTGGCCTCAACCAGCATCCCCCAACTGTCCCGTTTTTTGTTCCCAGGTCCAAAATCCCAAGTGTACAGTGTAACCTAGAAGCAGCGGGTTTGGGAAACCCAGTCCTCAGCCCAAGAAAGGTTGGCCATTCTCACTTTTGGGGCAAGTGAGGCGTATGAGGCTTATTCGAGGCAATGGCGGCATGAGTCCAAAGATGAGCTCACAACACTAGATCTCAAAGAGAGTTCAAGATGAAATACCGGCAAGCATAACAGGACATCTCCCGCCCACGTGTATTTGCACTTCGTGCTGCAGACATTGGGGACAAGTCCGCCCACTTCAGCTTGATGGTGATATTATGATGGCTTTTCACGAACTTTGGTATTATTTTGCGTTGCGGTTTTAGTTGGACGGACATGCTGACTGATGCAATGCACTTTCCATGTTTATCTACGGCTTATGCCCATGCACGTAGCCGCAATAGGAATTCACCACCCGGCTTTCCCAAGGAGTCTAGATCACTACAAAGAACATGGTCTTAATGTTGTGTTTTTTTTGCAGAATAGGAACTCTTCCCCCTTTTGGTGTCCATATTTCATCCAAGCAGGTTTCGATGCTTTGAGACACACACACAGCATACAAACGAAAGCCAACACGAAATCGAACGCATGTCAAAGGTCCCAAAGGTAATTCAAAAGTAAAGCAACCTCTTCCGGCACCCCCCAACTACTGCTTTTTGGACATGAGAAAGAGCAGTATTGGGGGGGTGCTGGCTGCCGCCGCCCGCATATTTCCCCATTGTGTTTCTCGTGAGGCCCCGAGCGAGAGGCAGCCCACTTTTGCGCGCGTCGGAAGCTCAGATGTGGCGTCCTCGCCTGCCGGGGGCGGTCATCCACTTGACACGTCGATTTGAGACTTCAACAGAGGGCTCCGACCCCCGAAATGGCGCAACGGGGTTTCCTCTTGGCTTTGCTTTAAAGAGACCAAGGGGTGCCCTCAAAAGGACGCACCCACATCGCAATGTGTGTTTCTCTAGGCACATGCACAGTGTCCATGTTTTACAACTGTCGAAGCGCTCAGCTGGTCAACCTGGCGGCTTTGTTGGTTCGGCGTCGTTTCGTGGACAAGCAAAACATGGAGTCCTTGGTTGTTGTTGTTTTTCTCGGGGATCCACAGCCTCAAGCCCTTCAGAAAGCAACGAGAGAGCATGTTACAGGAGCAGACGGAGAAAAGCTGCATTCACGTAAGAGCACCTGACCAACTCACTTGTACCCTGCCTTCCACTAGCACCTCACCTTTTGGGTCCTTTAGGAATCTGATCTTCCAGGTATCCTCCCACTGCTCTGTTTGTTGGAAGGGTGGTCTATTCTCAGTTTCTGGATAGGATCACTCCAAGTTCCCATGAAACCCTGGGCCTTGGGACAGAACATGTCCGTCACTCCCAAGG